AGACCACAAAAATGGACCAAGTCTGAGTTGGAGTTAGCCGAATCGACGAGGGAATTAGAGTTGTTCAAGCCTCCAGAATCGGAGTCCCTCAATCATCTAGACAGATGTATGGCATGCAGGAGGGTTGACTGAAGAGCAGATTGCGGCAAGTTGCAACCATTGGTTGTCCAATGCTGCCAGGCATGATGTGAGAACCAGTGAGTGGCTGGCAAAAGTTCACTGTCAACTCAAAGGTTGTCCTCTTCCAAACAAGGTGACCAAGTGTTGAGAAAATCCTTGCCATTTTGATTTTGGATTTTGAGTGTTTGGCAGTGTTTTAGAATTCGGAGTTGTCCAATTTGAAAAATGTAGCTACAATGCTTATAAACAAAATCGTACCATGCGCACATATAGAATAACTGCCTTCCATTTTTCTCGCCTCATCTAGGCTGGGCTTTGTTATCACAGAGGCCTAACCTTCCTCCCTTTTCATTATCTCTTGAAATTTAAAGTTTTGCATGCATGCTTATATACACAGAGAGAGATAGTAATTTAAACTTAAATTACTATCAAGATTAAGGAGAAATAAGGCACAACAGTTCCAGAAACCAAAACGAACTTAAGTTGGCTACATACATTATGCAATATATCATCAACATCTAATCTCTACACAAACAAATATTCCTTCCACCTATACTCAAGCCTTAAAGATCAAACATTAGGCTATTCACAAATGGAAAAATATTCCAAAACCGGCTAATATCCAAATTATCAATATGTTGAAATAAACAACTAATTTAAAATTATATTAATATCAAGATTAAGGAAAGAAATAAGGCACAACAGTTTCAAAAACCAAAATAAGCTCAGTTTGTTTACCTCTTTGAAGGATTATTAGACTCAGTCGGAATCGGAGTTATAGGGACCACAGAAGTTGATGGAGTTGAAGTTGGGGTCGAAGTCAACCAAACCATCGAGGAAATTGGAGTTGATCGAGTCTCCAAGATTGGAGTTGTAGAGACCATAAAAATGGATGGAGTCTGAGTCGAAGCCAACTAAATCAATGAGGGAATTAGAGTTGTTCGAGCCTTTGGAATCAGAGTCCCTTGATCATCTGGATGAATGTACAATATGTGGTAGGGTTGACCGAAGAGCTGCAACCACTAGTGGTCTAATACTACTAGACATGATGTCAGAACCAATGAGTGGTCGGCAGAAGTTCGCTATCAGCTCAATGTTCGTCTTCCTCCAAATGAGGTGACCAAGTGTTGAGAAAACCTTCACCATTTTGATTTTGGATTCTTGGGAGTGTTTGGCAATGTTTCAGAATTCAAAATTCTCCAATTTGAAAAACGCAGCTGCAATGCTTTATGAAAAGATGGTATCGCGCATGCATACAGAATAACTATCACCCATTTTCCTCACCTCATCTGGGTTGGGCTTTGTTACCATAAAAGCCCAGCCTTCCTCCCTTTTCACTATCTCTTGAAATTTAAAGGTTTGTGTGTAATGCTTATATACAAAGATAGTAATTTAACCTTAAATTACTATCAAGTTTGAGGATATAAATAGAGTACAATAGTTCCAAAAACCAAAACAAACTCAGGTTGGCTTATTCATTACGCAATACATCATCTGCATTTAACCTCTACACAAAAAAATTCTTCCCACCTAAACTCATGCCTCCAGGATCAAACATTGAGGTATTCACAAGTAGAAAGATATTCCAAAACCAACTAATATCCAAATTATCAATATGTTGAAGTAAGCAACTAATTTAAAATTAGATTAATATCAAGATTAGAAAAGAAATAGGGCACAATAGTTCCAGAAACTAGAATAAACTCAATTTGTTTACTTCTTTGAAGGATTCTCAAACTCAGTTGGAATTGGAGTTACAAGGACCACAGAAGTTGACAGAGTCGAAGTCATAATCAACCAAACCGTCAAGGAAATTTGAGTTGGTCAAGTCTTTGGGATGGGAGTTGCAAAGACCACAAAAATGGACGGAGTCTGAGTCGGAGTCAGTCAAACCAATGAGGGAAGCAGAGTTGTTCCAGCCTCTGGAATCGAAGTCCCTCGATCATCTAGATAGATGTACGGCATGTAACAAGGTTAACCGAAGAGCAAATTACGCGAGCTGCAACCACTGGTTATCCAATGCTACCAAACATGATGTCAAAATTAGTGAGTGGTCG